TAAAATCAAACTACCTAATACTAATATGATTTAAATAATGATCGTGTTAAAGAAATGTTTTATTAAGGAAACAACACATACGACATTATTTTATTAATTAGAATTATAGCTACTTCAAAAATTAGAATTTAGACATCTCTAAGTATCTAAGCTATAATATATTTTAACTTATTATATTAAATATGCAATTATTAGTTATAGCTTTGATAATTTCTCAATATTGGTAATGGTTACTCATAGAGAGGTCTTAACAGTTAGAATTTGATTGGAATTTTATCTAAATTCATGAACATTTTATTTATAGATTTCTTATTTTTTATTAAACTCACTAAAATACTTATATATTTAATGAAAAAAGTTAAGTAATTAAATATTATTTGTCTTAACAAAAGTACTACATTTTTATTATAGTTTTTACAAATATTTTATTTTTTGTTATTACTCTAGCAGACCCTTATTTTTTACCTATAAGTTATTAAACACTTTAGTTACTCAATTAAAAAAGCCTTATTTATTTGTTAATCTGATAAGCAAATAAGCTTCTTATTTATATTATGCATTTGTTGCCCTTTCTCTTTTTACAGAATTATTACATAATTACAAAGTGTCAAAAATAGTTATACATCAAGCTGAAATAATGATTATTAAAAATTGAATTTGAAGAATAAAGATACTCATCTTAATAATAATAACTTCTAGAAACACAAAATACTAAGCTTTATAAAAAAATGTTAAGCTTTGATATATACTGGAGAAGATAAGAATATTAATTATTGTAATTTTATATTTTACTGCTTAACAATAATGAAATATTATAACTATTTGCTTTCAAGTTCATTGTCAATAAAATAATCGAATTTTGCCGATTGTTTCAGAAATTTCATTTTAAGAAGGATGGTTTAATGTTAGTGCTATTTTATAAAACTTAATGGCTAAAAAATTTTGGTTCAATTTTTCTAATGAAATTGCTAAATGATAACTAACATAAAACCTTTGTTATAATAAGCATCCATATGATTTATATCAAGTGAAATCGCTTTATCAAAGCAGATTATAGCGTGTTCATCTTAATTCAAATCCTATAAAATTAGACCTAAAATTCTTATATGGGGATAAAACCTTTTCGATGAGAGGCTTAAATAAAATTTTTATTTTTTTCCAATGCTTGATTAAAATCATTTAATGCTTTGTCTATGTCACCAATTGTTTTATATAATATGCCTAATATATTGAGTGTAATAGTTTTTACCTCTATTATAATAGGCTGTTGCATCATTTGGATTAATTTAAATTGCTTAATTATAATCATTTAATGCTTTGTCTATGTCACCAATTGTTTTATATAATATGCCTAACATATTGAGTGTAATAGTATTTACCTCTATTATGCAAGGCTTCCGCATCATTTGAATCAAGTTAGATTGCTTGATTATAATTATTTAATGCTTTGTCTATTTCACCAATATTATCATATAAAATTGCTAATATATTGAGTGTAATACTATAAACCTCTATTATAAAAGGCTTTTGCATTATTTGGATTAATTTAAATTGCTTAATTATAATCATTTAATGCTTTGTCTATGTCACCAATAGTATTATATAATATGGCTAATATATTGTAATAGTATTTACCCCTATTATAAAACGCTGTAGCATTATTAGGATCAAGTTAAATTACTTAATTATAATCATTTAATGCTTTGTCTCTGTCACCAATTGTTTTAAATAATATGCCTAATATATTGAGTGTAATAGTATTTACCTCTATTATGCAAGGCTTCCGTATCATTTGGATCAAGTTAGATTGCTTGATTATAATTATTTAATGCTTTATCTATATCACCAATATTATCATATAATACTGCTAATATATTGAGTGTAATAGAATTTACCTCTATTATAAAAGGCTGTCGCATTATTTGGATCAAGTTAGATTGCGTAATTATAATCATTTAATGCTTTTTCTATGTCACCAATAGTATTATATAATATGGCTAAAGTATTGAATGTAATAGTATTTACCTCTATTATAAAGGGCTGTCGCATTATTTGGATCAAGTTCAATTGCTTAGTTATAATCATTTAATGCTTTATCTATGTCACCAATATTATCATATAAAATTGCTAATATGTTGAGTGTAATACTATATACCTCTATTAAAAAAGGCTGCATTATATTTTGGATTGATATCAATTGCTTAACTGAAATCACTTAAGGCTTAATCAGTTTTTTATTCATCCATATAATAACACCCTTAAAAATTAAATTTTATGTTACCTCGACACAAAAATGCATAATCACAATTACTATCTTTATCTATAGCTTAATTGTAATATTTCAGTTAACTATCCTTTTATTTCAATCCTCCCATAATCGTGCCTACAAATTTATTTTTATTTTGTTACCTATTCTACAATATCCCATAGCAAAATTTGCATTAATCTAAACACACTTCCTACAATCTTCTAAACCAAGATTAAATTATTATTATATCCAATAAATTGTTGCTTAAATAATAAGATTTACTTTATACCTCTTTGATAATAACTTTCAGCATTATTATTGTTTATAGAGATGCTATAATTTACATCTTCCAATGCCTTATCATATAATTTCATTTTCTCATATAATTCACCTAAATTGAAATTATAACATTAAACTTCTTAAAGTGTAGGCTTCTGCATATTTAGGATTTATATTCAAAGCAGTATTAATTTCTAGTAATGCTTCTTCAAATTTTTAAGTAATTTTAAATCCCTCAAAACGATTCCAGTAAATAATTTACCTTGCTTCTAGAATAATGCTCAAAAGCACTAGCATTATCATTTATCTTTTAACTGTTGTTGCACATTGTTGAGAAGTATCTAAATTTTTATTTTTAAATAATTAATATAATTTAAAGAATTCTTTAAATGGTTTAGCTTCAAATTTTTAATTAAATGAAATTTATATATCACTATTATAACTTCTAAAAGCTTTTGTTTCAATTTGAAATATATTTGATATTAATTCAAATATTTAAATATTTAATGATTTTTTATATGTAAAGGGGTAATATATAAATTAACCACAAATTATAATTAATCGAGGACGACTTAATAAAAAATCAATTTGAGAACCAATTATCTTACATTTTTTTGATAAATAGCAAATTAGATTTAAGTTCTATTTTTTCTTTATTCAAAAGACATAATTCATTTTTTTCTCTAAATTTGATTGTTTGCTTACTTTAAAGCAAAAATTTTGTTTGGTAAAAGGGTTAATCTTTTTGGATTCTAATTTTCTGATCTTACAAATATGAATAGACAATTAGATATTTTTTGCTTTGACTTTATGTAAAGTGAGAATATTTTAATAATTGGCATTAATTCTTTTACGATGACTTGTTAAGATTACTTTTGCATGCCCTACTAAATTTATTAAAATTTATATAAAATAAATTAGAAATTATTTTGTTATTAATAATTTATCAGCTTAACAAAGAAGGCTAGATAAATATGATATAATGTATTAAAAGTATAATAAAGACTGAACATCTTAATAAATTTTTTTTTATTTGTCTATTATTTTGTGATAGAATATTTATTTTGAAAAGTAAATGAATAAAATTTTTGGACCAAACAATTAAACATAAAATTTTATTTGGTAGTGGTTAATATGAAAAGTGTATAAAAGAAATAGTAATTAATGATTTCAACTACTTTGAGGAATACTGGTAATTTATAGAAGATGAGATTAATATTGATGCCTTGTGCAGCAAGGTCAAAAAAGTAATTAAAAATAACGAAAATAATTTGAAAACGCTAAGTGGAGTCTTAATCTTTACATAATATATTACAAAAAAATTATTATAAGAAAAATAAAAGGGTGTTTTGGAAGATAGGAAGTTGTATAAAATTCTTATTTTATAAAATGAAAAAGCATTATAATTTTTAATTTCTTTTATTATGTAGAAAAAACCATCAATATTTTTTTATATATTGTATTATGTATTGTTTTTATTCAATAGAAAAGATATTAAAGATTTTTAATGTAATTTCTTATCAATTATTTTATTGGATAGAAAAGATATTAGAAATTTTAACTTATTTTTATATGTACTATTTTTAGATGGATAAGACATTAGCAATTTTGAATTGCCTTTAATTTTTATTATTTATTTTCAATAGAAAATGCATAAGAAATTTTGAACTACAAGCATTTTTGGCATTGTAAGAAAAATATACATAGGGGAGTATAAAAATTATTACAGATGAATGAAGATTGATAAGGTATTTGGAATAACTTTTATATATAATGATCTTTAAATCAAAACTACAAATACTATCAGGATGGAATATCAAAAGTTATTGTACAATTTAATTATTATTAGATTGATGAATGGTGTAAAGAAATTGAGATTTCCTGTCTTAAATTTGATACGTTACTGGAGATATGGAAGGGAAATTTTATGGGAGAAAAGCAAAATAGATCTTCTGAATACTTAAAATTAGAGGAAATGAATTAGAGTAAATTATAATTTGAAGATGTATGAGTAATTTGATGTTTTTCTTAATTTACAAAAAGTAAAATAGAATAAGAATATTATTATTTCTACTGACCAAATTTAGTGTTACTCTTCAATTACTTAGATTTGATCTGAAATTCAAATCATACTCTCTTTATTAATGAACTTCATAAATTCTTCTCAGATTTATGTTATTTAAATCAATTATTATATTCATATTAATTATACATCTAAAAATTCAATAAATTAATTTATAATGAGGTTTATATAAAATAATAAAATAAAAATTTAACATTTTCAGATAATTCTCATATTTAAGCAATTTCTTTTGATAAGATTAATAAGGAAGAATTTTTCCATAATTCAAAATCTTAGCAGATATTCTAATGGCATCTATATAATTTTTGAATTAACCATCCTCAGTGTCTATATTACCTGAATTGGATACAGAAATTAGTAATCATTTTATTAAATAATTTTGACTTGCATCTATCAAATTTCCTTAGAGTCTTATGAATGTTGTTAAGGAAATCAAAAAATTTTATTCTTAAGTTCATGGCAAATCACTAAGTTTAAGAGCAGGTGCTGTAGAGATAATAGAAGATGCTCTCATTTAATCATATTGACTAAATGTTTTATTATAGATAACTAGAAGGAAGGTAATGTCAATATCAATTTTGATATTATATTATCCTGCATAACTTGTGCCAATCATAACACTTTGACTTCCTTTACTTGTAGATAATTATTTCTACTTGATTCAATTTACTATTAAACTGTTCTACTAACAATTTTATGTTTGAGTTGATAAATTTATCCTAATGTATTATGATGTAGTTGAAAATTCAAGTTTTTGCAGATAACTTCCCAAAGAATCAGTATACCATTCAAAATGTGTATATTTGCTCCTAATTTTAATATAATTTTTTAATTTATATGGCGAATAAGCAATAACAATTAAAGTGACATAAAGTTTGCTTTAGTTTTCAAAGTAGCTTCCTTTTCAACTCCAATCTAACTTAAAGTGCACTACTAGCCTATAACAAGAATAATATTGATAGAATATTACCAGAAACTATAGCTAGTGAGAAAGAACTTAAGGCTTGATTTCAAATTTTATAAACACTACTCCCAATATTTTAAAACTGTCTTCAACTCTACTGAAATCAATAACATAATATACAAGAGCAACACACTCAACAAAAAAATATCACAATATCTTATTTAATATTTTACCCCCAATAAAAGTAAGCCAAATATATGTTCTACAATTATTAACTATTGAAATTGGAAAGCCTAGGTTCTTAATCAGTATCTGCATCTGAACATTATGTAATGATTTTGCATAATATTCATCTACACTCACCTCTTGAAGTCCATGATGCTTTATTACAATAATTAAAATCAAACATATATCCATTCTAAATGCATTTCTTCTATGAAGAAACTAAGGATCACTTACAATTTCCAAAGTGCTACCTAAATATTATTTTACCCAACAGCTGATTTATACAGATTTATTATCAAGAGATAATTTATTAATAAAAGTTTCATCTGAGCCCAATATACACATAAGATGTTAAGGATATATATTAGATGCTATTACTAGAACATTTAATGTGACTAATTGATCAAAGCATTTTATGAATGTATTAGTGTTTTTTTGTCAAATATTAGCGCTTTTTAATCTACGGAAAGTATTATTCAATATAAGATATCCATCTAATCTTTTATTTTTATAACATAAAAACTATAAATTATGCAATGAACACGTGAAATTTATCATAGTTTTCACTTTTAGTTATGAAAATAAAATATGCTGAATTGGAAGTACAACGTTTTGAGAAGGATTGGCATTCATTAAGGGGTTATTAATTTCATGTATTAAAATCTTAAGTAGTAATGAAATGCTTTGTTTAAATATATGCAAGATTACATTGATAATTTTTTAAATAGGTTTTTTTAAATAATATCTTCATATTAATAATTCTACTTTTCTCACCCATTTGTTATACAATTCACATAATTCCTTGAAAAAACGAAATTTTAAGGAATATATTTTATTGTTAACAATACTATTAAAATTTACGGTTAGTGTAAACTGCTTTACCATCTCAACAGAATCTACTGTTAATATCAATTAACCTATTAAAAATCACACTCTTTTTGGAAAATCCATTGTAAGTTTCACATTTATCAACTTAATTACAACTGTTACCTTTAACATAAATCTTTTGAATTCTTGTTGGATTATAAATTCCAAAAAATGCATTAATCTTGTACTTATATTTAAACATTATAAGTTAGTATTTACATTAATATCTAACTTTATAAATATCATCACCTCATTGATGAGTGCAATTTTTATGAGATTTAGTTTGAATACAATTATAAAAAATTATACTTTAATTAATTATTACCTAAACATAATAAATATCATTATATTCAAGTACCTAAACATAATAAATATCATGTGTAAAACAAGAATTAATGTGGTAAATAAATTCAAACATTCTTGAATCAAGATCAGATTTGATATTTAAATCATCTACACAAAGCAGAAGAGTCACCATTTAATCATGAAAAAATTTATCCTATCAAAGATTAACAGAATGATTATCTAGATGTATTCAAATCTATACATGGTTTTGTAGACTATTCACAAGGATCAATTACTGTCTTCTAACTATTTGATTTATAATATGTACAATAACTTATTTTATTTTATAAACTAGAATCTAATTAAATAATTATACAATCTTAAACCAAGTTTTTATAACACATTTTCCCCTCTTTAGAAGGAAAAAAATTATTAAATCTCAAATCACGTTACTCTTACCTAGTAATTAGTGAATAGACTAAAATAATTGCATTCAATCTCGCATTTCTATCCAGAGGAATATCCAAATATATATCAATCAGAAGATTTATAGCATTTAAAAAAAGCATCTTTTTAATGAAACATCCTTCTCACATATTGATATGTCAGTGTAATTAGATGAATGTGATCCATAATTAATAGTTTCACTTTTAAAATACCTTATTGTGCTATAGAGGATATTTTTGCAATAAAGCAAGTAATCTGTTATAATTGAAGCAACCACTTAAACAATATTCTTTTTTTGTAAGATTTTTATCATATATTTTATAAATGGTTATCCATTAATTTTAATTAATCATTCACATCAAGCCTTTTTTTCTATATAATGCCAGAGAAATCATAAGATTAACAACCGCTTAAAAAATTAATGCATACTTTTAATTTTTTATGAAAGTATCTAGAGTATTGTTTGATAGACTTTAACAATACTATTTCTTTTCTTGATCATCAACTCCATAATTTATATATAAGTTTAAACAAGATTTTCGATAATAAAATTAAACAAATATATGTTTATTTTATTACAGTTTTCTTTAAATTAGAGATATAATATCACTAGATTTTATTAGGCTTCAATAATTCTAATTTTGCTCATCTTATTATCAATTGAATTACCTATTTATCTTCTTCTGGCTTTAAAATTATTCCTTTTATCACTAATTAGTGATAATTAAATATATAATAAATTTAATAAATTTATATTGATATTTTAAATAATTAATATAAATTTAAATGGTTATTAAATCTGAATATTTTTATCTCCAAATTAAAAACTAAAAGCTCCTGATATTAGTATCCTCATTAATTGTATGGTTAAAATTAATTTAAATTTGTTATTGCTGTTGTAATATATGTACAACTCAAACTTATATTAACATACGTTTTGCAAGAAATCACTTAGAATTTTAGTTTTTGAAAATATCAATTGCTGATTCTGATGCTATCACTGATTAATTACGTCACACAAATAAAAGTCATTTTTTATAGAATTTAAAATAAAATATTGATAATAATTCTCACTTAAATATAGGAACTTAAGTTTCTAATCCATTTAATAAAAATCAGAAATATTTATTATAAATAATTATATTAAATAAAGAAATTTTTATTATTTTAAAAAAGCTAATGATATTTAAATTTATAGAATAATAATTTTTCAGATCTTATAAAGAAATTTGGTTCAATTTATTAAATATAATTAAAGAAAATTTATGAATTTTATCCATAAAAATAAATTAAAATAGCGTTGATTAGAAGGGGAAACTAATTTTACTTATGCAATTATTAAATGATAATAACTATTAATATAAGCCTTTCACACAAGATCTATTATAAGATAAAATAAGAATTAACTTACAAGATTATAATATTGTCTAATTTCATATTGAAAATTATAAAGTAGAAAGTATTAATTAAGAATTCTTTCAAGATAATTTTGATTCTATCAAATTTTTAGATTCTTAACTTAACATAATATCTTAATAATAATAATAATAATGAATATGATAATATAGTATTTTAAGTTCAATTTTTCATGATCTTAAAATGCTATATTGATGATGTCTTATTCTGTTTTTGCTTAATTATAAAGTATCTATATTACTAAACGCTTGGTGGATGTGATATTTCTTTTAACTTTTTGATTTACAGATTGTATTTAAATGAACTTGGGAAAATAACTTATTAAATTAATTTGAGAGTGACAACATTGATTAAATTAAATTGATAATTCTTCCCAAAAGAAAAACAAGAATTACAATTATTAAATTTAGATATTACTCGTTTTCCTGTAATACAATTTATTTCAAGAGCAAAATTAATAATCTAAATAGGTTTATAGACCTTAGTGGAATATTCTCCAACAACATTATATATTTAATTTGCCTGCTGTATTTAAACAAAAATCTAGGTCTATTGCTTTATGATCTATCTAATTTCTAACTGATTCTTAAAGTAAAGCATTCTAATGCATAATTTTTTATCAGTTAATAGAACATACATAAATTCTAAATTGTGAATTCAGATTAATCATAAGGACCCTGTTGAAGCTCCAAAAATTTTTTTACCGGTTCAAAGTCAATTGGGTTCCATAATTAAATTTGATTCCTTGAATTGGCAATATGAGCCATTTATTCGATTTCAAATTTATTGCATTACTGGTATAAGCAGGTTTAAATTTCACTAATCCAAGATCTATAAAATCTCTTGAAGCTTCTAATAAGATCTGGTATCCTGTTATTTCAAATTAACTAAATTTTTTTCGCTACTTAAGTTATCCCAACTGGGACAGTGTCTTTTGTTATTTAGGTTATCTTCAATAAATATAATGAATAACCAATAGCTAGAATTCTATTTATCCACTATAACCTAAACTTGTAAGTCCTATTAATGCAGTGTCAGCATTAAGGTATTGATGATTAAATACTTTACCCTATGGTGGATCAATATTATATGAATTAATCACTTAAACTCTCGAATCCTCTAAGGCAATCCATGAATATTTGATGCCCCATATTAATCTAATTCAATAATAGCATTACCAATCAAAGTTATGGATGTGGTTGAAAGTTAGTATTCTGATATTGCATTTGGTATATCACAATAATCTTAAAACATAAATACTTAAGGATTATTTTATAAAGTACTTGAGAATGAAATTGTTTTAGTTGTCTAAAAGTTATCTCCACAATCAAAATTTGCTGCATGATCAAATTGGTATTATCCTAAATCACTAAAGATGGCTGAAGAAGAGGAAATGAACAAAATCAACAATAGGATTAGACTCTTTAGATTTCCTTAAGATATTTAAATTTAATTATATTTGCTTTTTCATAATTTCAATTATTAACCTATCAGATTTTACTCTTATTCTCAAATAGATTGATTTGAATTCTACTTGTATAATTAGGATTAAGTTATAAAATATCTAAAAATTTTAAATTAGTACTTCCTTTAAATAATATTGAACAATTAAAAGCATTTATATTAATAATAAAAATAGTATTTTGCACATATTAAAAATAGACCCTTATGACATTTTTTACAAGAAATAGGGCAACTAAAAGTACATTAATGATATTCATCTTCAAATATTAAATTCTATCATCACATATCCAATTATTTGTAAATCTCCAAAAATAGGTTAACATTCTCCATATACTATATGAAACCAGAAGTACAAGAATAGCATGTATTAGTATGCCATCATTATTCATTATTTATACAAATTTCATAACATGTAATTCATGATATTCTTTCTATAATTGGGCAATTTATAATTAATTAATATCACAAGTTAAAAAACAATCAAATTTTCCTTGTTAATAAGTTTAACATGATTAATAAGACTTGAAGCATGAATTTGAGAATTCTTAAAAATAGATACAATTTGATATCTACAATTTGATCCCACAATCTTAATATCATTGCAAGTCAAGCAATTATTAAAAGTAGGTCAAGTACAGAAATAATGACATATTTTACATTTAAGATAATGGTATCTATAAATCCAAAAGTATTATTGATTTTTAATTATCAATTCTTTGTAATTAAATAATTCATACAGTTGCTTAAACTTAAGATTAATTACATTCAATTCTAAAATTATAACATTAATTTGAATCTTAATATTAATTCAATTTAAAAATGTGTTCTAATTTAATTTATATAAAAGTAGATTGTTTAATAATCTATTTTAGATGTACATGTTAAACAAGATACTTGAGAATTTAAACTTCTTACATAATCCTTATCATAATATTGATTCTTAAACATTCAGCTTTCTTAATAATTTGAACTATAAAATTATTACTGGATTTAGAAATCTGTGGATTATTTTTAATTTTATATATAAATAATCCATCAGATGGTATTTATTTTGAACATCTCTGTAATCATAATTGATATACCATAATTAATTGGAATACAATTACAAGTTATAATTGACATTTTCTATCCCATTAACTAGGTTGCATAAATATTAGAAAAATAATATAATATATAAATATACCAGAATTAAACTTAAATACACCGAATAACTCAGATTCTAGAGTAGTTTTGAGATGTATCTAGATTTTTTGGGTCACAGATAATAAACCATTCATTTTTAATATCTAATTTTCTGAACATTTTAAACTAAGATATTTCAATATAATTACTATGATAATTATTGCAAAAATCCTTTTAAATATAATTGTTAGTAGATATCATAAATATTTCTGCATCCATATTTTATATCAAAATATTAATTAGAAGGGGAGAGTAGAAAATATTGTTTGTAGGTAAACAATGATAACAACTGTACATTAATTGAAATTTTCTCCTAAACACGATATACATAATTAAGAAAATGAAATTTGCGTATCTGAAATATAAATATTACTAGTTGAAACTTATCCAACATGTATATTTGATGATGTAAACTTTTTATATCCATAAGCTAATTTCGGAATATAAAATGTGAATTAAGAGTTCTAATATCAAAAGTAATATTCTCACAAAATCTAGTTGATTTTTGATTTATACTAGTTACAGAAATAGAACTTGTTGAAAGAGTTAAAAAATTAGTTGTTGTTTATGTGGAGGGTAATAAAAAGATTAATATGCAGTTGGTCTATTCTATAAAGTAAATTTCTCATTCATATATAAGTAATATCTATCATCAATATGAATTCACAACATCATTTAAGTCGACAAGTATATAAAATTAAATAAATTAAGAATAAATGAAATAAAAATAAAAAATTCAAAATTGTGATAATTAATGAAAATATATTTAATCAATTAAATTAGAATTTATTTATATTTATATGGATTAGAAAAGAATTATTTATTTTTAAATAAAGAATAGGTTAAATTTGATGTTTCAAAATTCCAGATATTTCATTTCAAATTTAATTGATCTCGCAATAAATATTAATGGTTTTTCAAATAATAAAAATTTTTAACCTTTTATCATTGTATTTCCTGAAATATTAAATTTCTGTAATAATAAAATGCTTTTAGACATTGATTTATGAAAGTTTCCTTCTTAATATGATATTTATCTAGAGCACTTTTTTTTTTATATTCATTTTCATCAAAGATCTTTAGAGTAAATTTATTAACTTATTTATTTATATCATTATTTCAATTTAAGTCTATTGAAATATAAATGTCCCAATATCAAATAAAAAAAGTATGATGTTATTAAGAATATCATAAATTATTACTCTGATTTTAGATCCAATAATATGTTATAAATTTTTGTAATAGAAAATCAACAATATATCTGAAATATTCAAATAAAATGGGTAAATGTTAAAATAACTTTGCTAATTAAAAAAAATGTTAAAATTGAAATAGATGAGAATATTGTAAATTTTCATTCATTATATTAATATATATATTCAAATTCTGAATTCAATTATTATTTATATATAATACAACTATATAAATTTTTTAATTATTATTTTTTAATTCTTATGGATCATTAGATCATTATGGTAATAGTTAATTCACTAAAATAAAAAATTGAAATTATTCAATAAATTATTTTTTCAATAGAATTCTAAGATTAATTGTAACAGAACTTAATGTTAAGACCTGATAATACTACTTAGAAACCAATCTAGTCTAATCAGCATGAAAATCTATAAAATTATTCATTAATGAATCATAACCCAAAATCAATATTAAGTATCATTTTTAACTTATGAAAAATCTCAATGACAATGTTCAAAAATTGATTAATATAAAATATAATAAATCATTATTATACAAAAAGAATGATAAAGAATTATTAAGTTACAAAGTTTTTTATTTTAATAAAGTTGATTCTTTATTAATATAAATTAAAAAATGCTTTCCTATTTGAAAATTAGGCCAAATCATTATTTATTCTTAGCCTTAATAACTCTTCTATTATAAACAAAATAAAATACTTTATACACCTATGTCCGCTTAATCTTTAAAGTTTTCTTCTAAAATTAAATTTTGTTCTACATTTATAATAAATACTAATATATTTGTTTAAATATCATTTATACATTATGCCATCTCTTAAACCATTTAAACTACCTTTATTCTAATAACAAAATGTAATAAAAATCAAAAATCATGTTAATATCTATGTCTTTAAAAAGAAGAATTTGTTGAATGAAATAAAACATAATTTTAATATAATTATATATCTAGTCGTGAATGTTTAAAATGAATAATAAATCCTGAAAGAAGGTTTAATATTTTTCAATTATTTTGAGTATTTACAAATATCCACAAATTTTTTTTGANCAAATAAAATGGGTAAATGTTAAAATAACTTTGCTAATTAAAAAAAATGTTAAAATTGAAATAGATGAGAATATTGTAAATTTTCATTCATTATATTAATATATATATTCAAATTCTGAATTCAATTATTATTTATATATAATACAACTATATAAATTTTTTAATTATTATTTTTTAATTCTTATGGATCATTAGATCATTATGGTTTAATAGTTAATTCACTAAAATAAAAAATTGAAATTATTCAATAAATTATTTTTTCAATAGAATTCTAAGATTAATTGTAACAGAACTTAATGTTAAGACCTGATAATACTACTTAGAAACCAATCTAGTCTAATCAGCATGAAAATCTATAAAATTATTCATTAATGAATCATAACCCAAAATCAATATTAAGTATCATTTTTAACTTATGAAAAATCTCAATGACAATGTTCAAAAATTGATTAATATAAAATATAATAAATCATTATTATACAAAAAGAATGATAAAGAATTATTAAGTTACAAAGTTTTTTATTTTAATAAAGTTGATTCTTTATTAATATAAATTAAAAAATGCTTTCCTATTTGAAAATTAGGCCAAATCATTATTTATTCTTAGCCTTAATAACTCTTCTATTATAAACAAAATAAAATACTTTATACACCTATGTCCGCTTAATCTTTAAAGTTTTCTTCTAAAATTAAATTTTGTTCTACATTTATAATAAATACTAATATATTTGTTTAAATATCATTTATACATTATGCCATCTCTTAAACCATTTAAACTACCTTTATTCTAATAACAAAATGTAATAAAAATCAAAAATCATGTTAATATCTATGTCTTTAAAAAGAAGAATTTGTTGAATGAAATAAAACATAATTTTAATATAATTATATATCTAGTCGTGAATGTTTAAAATGAATAATAAATCCTGAAAGAAGGTTTAATATTTTTCAATTATTTTGAGTATTTACAAATATCCACAAATTTTTTTTGAATCGATATTATAATAAAATATCGACTTAATTTATCAAAAATTATTTTCTAGAAATGAATAATTGTTTACACAACATCTATATTTAAATATATGAATAGATATCAAAAGTAAAAAAATACTATCCAAAAGAGAAATATAAAGGCTCTTTTTAGAATTTAATTGTTAAACTCATAATATAATTTTTATTTTAAAAGATTCAAAAATAAATATAAGTACTAACAATCTATAATTATTTATGAATTCTTTTTGTAAAAGTTTACAAATACAAAGTAAAGTTGAAAATCAAAGTATACTTTTTTTTGGCTTATTAATTATTTTTCTATCCTCCTTTGACCACTCTTTGTTTAATAATTCTATAATTTAAAGTATTATCTTATAGTCAAACTTAATTAGCAAACTTTATCCTATTTTAAAATAGACAAAAAATATATTTAAATTAGGATTATTATTCTCAATGTTATATTTGATTATGATTTTTTATTCCTTTGTATTTCAAATATCAAAATAAAAAAGTTGTGTTTAGTATTAATAAATTATTACTAATATCTTAGATATGACCTTTTTTATCCTTTTAATGTTTCAATACTTGAGTAGTCTAGAAATAAAGGAGATGGAATCTATATATTAATATAGCTAAAAATCAATTACGGTATCAGGAGTTAGAGTTACACCAACATTTTCGACTGCCTTCAGATATGGATTATGGTCAAAATATAATCCCTTAACAAGTATTCTTTAAGTTGGAAGTGTTGGATTATTTGATAGTGATTGCTTCCATTTACATAGTGCGGTTGAAGAATCATCTTTGACTCTCAATCTTATTTATTATGATTGCATAGATATTTCTTTAAAGAAAATCACTAAAACAATTGCATTTATTGATAATGATAGCATGCAACATTCGTATACAATAGATATAGATCCATTTGAGTATGAAAATGTTTGGTATTATATTTAAATTTTACAATGGCCTTTATAAGAAAGATTTGAATTAATTTTTATATATAAAGAGAAAATTATTCGAGAAAATTTGAAAATTAAACAACCTTTTAAAGATCAAAGTTTAAAGCTAATTTTCGGTGGTGGAATGATAGTACAATAATCTATGATTGAAACAATCGTATCAGGTACAAAATTTGCTTATTTTCCTGGTAAAATGATAAAAGTTGAATATGAATTTGGGGAGATATCAGTAGATGAAGATCAAGAATAGTTGGCAAGAATGGCTTTTGAACCATACAGTTTATGTATTTGTAACATGACTAGTGAATTGAGATTGGAAGACAATTCTATGAAATATTTGGATAATTTAGTGTATATTTCAGAGAATATTAATTGTAATTCTTTTGAATTATCTGGATGGTTGAAAATAGCTGATATTATTTAGAGTTCAGATGAATTTATTTATCCTTTCCTTATCCTTTCATCTAATTTCTAAAATTCATTATCAAAAATAACCTTATCTCCATTTACTTTATCGTATAAAATTTCTCCAATAAGAAATTAAATAATTGTCACAACTTATAGCTACACATTTCCATCAGTCATTTCTGATGATTAATAATTAATCTAAAAAGAGTTTGATATTTTAAATAGTATAACTCTTTGGTAAAAAGTAAAAATAACTCTTATTGCTGATTAATTGATAATTAATATTAAATTTTATGAAAACTATGATTATTATGAATATAGTACTAATGAACAAGTAAATTAGTTTAAGTGTACTTAATTTAAACTTTTATATGGTAATATAAATTAATCTAGAACAAATTATTTAAACATTTTATTTAGAAATATATTATTTAATAATTGTGAAACAGATAATACTATATAAAGTTGTCATCACAGTTGTTAAGAATGTGATGGACCTTCTTAGAATAACTGTTTATCTTGTAGAGGTTTAAGAATTTATTTACCTGAATTTAAAGCTTGTGTGTGTCCATTTAATACTATTGATTAAGAGAATTGTGTTTCTTATATAGATTCTGAACTAGAATTATCAAGTTTGAAAAAGAAAATGCCTAAATGTAAATATGGTTATTTTGAATATGAAAATGATTGTATACGTTGGTAATTAATTATAATAAATATAATAGTCCTTCGATAATTAATGATTAAGTGGCAACTTGTTAAGAATGTTTATAGAATCCTTAAGGATGGAGCAAAGAACCTTATTGTGAAAATGATTTATTCTTAAATTAAAACGGTGATGTTAAAACTAATTTTTGGTTGGGTTATCAAGTTTATTATCTATTTGATGGGATAGATTTAATGTATTGTAAAAATTGCAATAGTTCATACTCTTTTATTGTTGATGATTATAATGTTAAGAGTGAAATAACTTTAAAATAACAAATTTTTTTATTTTTAGATGAATATCCTTATTGTGATAAAGCTATTAAAAATATTCAAGGCCATTATTGTATTTTATGTGACAAATCATCATACCCTATGAATGATGGCAATTGTACATTAATTAATGAAGATTTTAATTAATTAGACTGTTTGGCACCATATTATATAAATTCATTAAGAAGATGTAAATTATGTCCAATTCTTAATTGTAAATACTGCTTTGAATATCAATCTAATGATTTAACTAAATGCACTCTTTACAATAATTTTGATGATTTTAACTCAGATCAGGAAATCAAAATTGGATGTGCATTATGTGAAGATAATTTTATTTTCGATTTTGATGCTGGAATATGTTTATTTAATATTCCAAAAATATAATATTGTTTGAGATCTTATATTTATGATGGTTAAGAAGTATGTACATTATCATAGATTCAAGATTTTTCTTTGGCTCCTGAGATAATTAATTGCCAAAATCTTTAACCTCATTGTTTACAATGTATTTAATCTCCAGAATTCACAATTAAGTGTATTATATGTTAGATAGGATATGTTACCTCTGTTACAACTGGAGGATGTTATTAGGCTTAACAATATAAATTATAGGGATCTAAAATAATAATTGAAGGAGTTTACTCAAAAATGGATGGATGGGTTTAAAGAATACAGAGTTTCATGATGTAATTCTTACCAAATAAATATTTTTACTTTCAATCTAAATTTGATTAAATGCTTTCCTAAATTGCAGTTGAATGTAAAGAGGGTTATTAACTTTCCTCTTCTGCCGAATGCTCTAAGTATTGCGATCCTTCATGTTTGAATTGCAAATTACATGCAATTTAAGGTTATTATTGTAATACTTGTCCTTTAAATTATTATTACTAACCTATCAGAGATTAGAGAAATGGAAAATGTTTTGAATGCACTCAACTTTGTTAAGCTTGTTAAGTCCGGACAGATGATGAAATAAATGTAATTATTATATATTTAAGTTTTAGAGATAGTAACCAAAATTCATAATAGATAATAACAATTTAATTTATACTACAAAGTGTCTAAAACCTGTATAACATCCTTAGATCTATTTGGATCCATATGATTAAATAGCAAAGTATTGTTTTGATGAAAATTGCTCATAAATATTCTTGTATCAGAAAACAATTAATTATTGTTATTGGTTTGATATAATGTGGTAAACATAATTGAACATTGAATATTTTAATAAATTGAGCTTAGATAGTTTAATAGTTCGATTTACTTTTACTAGTCCTGTGGATATATGTACATTAGCTAACTTTTATGTTGATAGTTAAATTAAAACAAAAGTTTTTTCTCTCAAATATATTCATTTCATTTTGAATTCAAGAAAGGATTTGATATTGTTAATACCAAGTCTAATTTATATAAATAATATTGATAAACTAGAGATTAACTAAATTATTTTTTTAAACTTAAATAGCCCTATGTTTGTTATTCAAAACAACAATGAAAAAACAGAATTAAGTTTGTAAAATGTTATTTTTTTGGAAACTGAAATACAAAACATTTAATCAATTTTTTCTAGTAAAAGATTTGGTGATATTTAAATTAGAGATGTTTAATTATTAAACATAAACTTTGTTAATTCTTCTATTTTGAATGTAAAAGATTGCTTGATTTCAGGAGTTATAATCATTGAAAATTTTGTTATAAGAAATTGTACATTCTTAAATTCAAATTTCTTTTAATTTATGGATAATAAAGTTATTTTGTCAGTTAAACATCTTCTTATAGAAGATAGTGTATTCACAAATTCACATCTTTATTATTTTGATTCAAATATTTAACAATTAAGTAAGCTAGAATTTTATAATGTAAAAGTTCAACAGAGCAAATTCTTAAATTCAAGCCTAATAAACTGCTATGATTATGTTTCGCTATCAATGATTAACTTGTAATTTAATTAGAATATATTGTTTTAATCAAACATATTTGCTTCGAATTATAATCTCTCTCTTTAATATGTTTAAGTAATGCAAAACTAATTTGTAGAATCATAATTTATATCCCTAATTGAAGAAAATTATAATTTACCAACTTTTGTACTTATTGATTAGATTGATGTTTAAAACAATTAATTTTAGAATTCTAAATTTTTGAGAATATTAACTAATTAAGAATCTAGTCAAGTTGATTTAGAGATAAGAAATTTAATCTTTGATTAAATAGTAGGTGCAAATAATTCAGATAATAATTAATATCTCTTTAAAATTAGATGTTTTAAATTAAAAATTTAAGATTTGATTTTCAGAAACTTAAAAAATCTTCTCATATTTTATATATTTGAGGGTAAGGATATTATGATTTCAAATGTACTTTATGAAAATTCTGTTTAAATATATTAATTGCCATTTTCACAATATTGTTAAGTTAAAATTAATGAGAAAAACTAACTGTTGAAAATAGAGAACTTTTATACTTTAATTATTACCTCTGTTTAAATTATTAATTAATTTACAATTGATGAATCCTTTGTTGATTTATTGCAGGCAAAAGATTTTTCTAGCTCTTCTAAATTAGAAATTACCGAACTTAAATTTATTGGAAACTTGTAATTATTTAAACAATCTCAAAAATCTTTTTCACTATTAACTATTAATTCAGAATAGAGTATTATTGTTTTAGTAAATAGAATTACATTTTTAGAAAATTGTTTTCATTCATAAGCTGATAGTTTTTTGTAATCTTACTCTTCTTTACTTTTCTTTAATATTAAATCTAGTAAAGTGTAAATTATTAATTTATTATCAGAAAGAAATGCATTTACAAATTCATCCAACTCATTTGTTTACATAAATTCTAAAACACTATTTATGTAGAATTTATAAATATCTAATCATAATGTTCTAACATATAAATTATGGGAAAAGTTTTATGGTGTAAAATTAGATTAATTCTTTAATTAATAACAAATTAATTTATTTGCTTTTTAAACATTTAATATCACAAATATAGGAGGAGTTGGTTAAATAACAGCATCTATGTTTACATGTTTAAATTGCCAATTTTATAATATCTTTGCATCAAAAAGCTCCATTTTTGAAATTAAGACCGAAGATTTTGGAATAATAAAACTTACATAAATTAAGGCAAATTATATAATAAGTGACTTAAAATAAGTATCTAATAGTTCAGGTTGTATTAGCATCTACTCCTTTAATAGTCTTTTAGATATTACAATTTAATAATCTGAATTTTAGAATGTGTTTAATAGAATGTCTTCATCTATTTTATCAATATAGCCATCTAAGATTAAAAATAGAATTAGTTTAATAGATATTTAGATCTATGATTGTTTATCTTTAATGAATCAAATACTTTTTGTAGAATTTTCAAACAAAATAATTGATTAAAATAATTTAGATATAAGAAATATTATTATAACTTAAAATATTGATTCCTGGATATTATTGTTTACTTAAATGGGGAATATAAGTTTCACAGAACTATTAGATATATCAAGTAGCTAAAATTCATTATTTTATATTGAAAGCGGTTCAATATCTATGATTAATATTAGTTTTGCAGGTCTCTATTTATCTCCAATTTTAAGTATTGTAAATGCACCAATATTAAAATTATAGAATCTTTAAATTGAATAATTATAACGATTTTACTCTTTCAATTTGATAATTATAAATTAGATGATAGATATTTAATCAAAAGTACTGATGCATTAAGTAAGTATTGTAAAAAGTTTAAATTATTAAGCAGGACTTCAAAAGATATTTTTATAGAACTTTAATTTTATACTTGATGGATGTATTGTAGTTACCAATTAATCTACAGAAACATCTGGAAATTAACATTTCTATTTTTTGAATGAGATTCTTAATACAATGGAAAAACATACTTAAACAACACTTTCATTAATTTATATTTAAAGTCTATCAAAGAAGAATTCATTTTATTTCAATCAATTAAAAATCCTGGAAAATAATTGTATAAATTGTATCAATGGATTGATTTATTTTGAGTTACTCAATTTCTAAAATATTACAATATAAGAACTAAATTGTAATTACAATGTTATGACATAGTATGGATGCTTAAAAATTGTTGATGAAAATCAAGAATCTTTGCCTATTCGACTAATAAACTCTAATTTCATTCAAAATAATGGAAGTTAAGGAATTGCTATCTCATCAAATAGTCCAATCAGTATTAAAAATTGTAAAATAATTTCAAACATTGCCAGCTTTAGAGGAGGAGGCATTTATTTAAAACTGAATAGTTATTAATTTATAATAAAAAATTCTATTATTGTTGGGAATAAAGCAAAAGAAGGTGGAGGAATATTTTTTAGTGGAGACAGTAATTTAAATCAAAATAATTTTATTTAAACATATCTACTCTTTAATTATGCTTATGATTATGCTAATAATGTAGTTGAAAGCCCAACACATTTGGCATTATTTGTAAATTCTTAAGAAATGTAAGGAGATAAATTAAAATTATAAAAAATTTTAACCAATATTCTAAGGATTTTTCCTTACATGACCATAGAACAAGAAATTAAAATTAAAACTGCTTATTTAATGATTCCTAGTGGCTAAGCAATCTAGGGATATTCTCTTTTCATTCCTAAAAAATCATAAAGTGTTAAGTAGATTAAATAAATAGAATTAATATATAAAAATAATTTAAATGAATTATAAAAAAACTTAGTTAATTCATCCTGCGTTATAACAGAAAATATAGTCAAAATGAATGAATAAATTGTTGAAAATCAGCAACATGCTTAATTGCTTTTTAATACTGAAAAAAATCATTTTGATTTAAGTTCAATTTCTTTTACACTAGACCCGTATATATAAGAAAACAAGTATTTAGAAATTGGTATTATTTGTTCAACTTAAGAATATAAAAATTCATTAAAATATATCATCTAAGCTAAAAGTTATAAATGTTAACTTGGAGAATTCTATGTTGATAATGGATGTTAAATTTGTGAATCAAATCAAGGTTTTTATTCTGTAACATATGATTCAATTAAATGTTCTATATTTGATAAAGAGAAATTTTAGGAGATAGCTTCAAATCAAATTAAATTATTGGAAGGATATTGGAGACCAAATTATTAATCAGATTAATCTACTTTATGTTTTAAAATAACAAGTTTTTGCTTAGGAGGATGGGGTGTTGGAGATGCACTTTGTAGTAAAGGACATGTTGGAGCCTTGTGTGAAGAATGTGATATTTATAATGTTCAAGGAAATGGAAAATTCATTAAAAATTAATAAAATTCTGAATGTTTTCTCTGTTTTAGTGCGCAAGATAGCATTCTTCCTTTCATTTTAAATACACTTTGGTAAGTTATATTAATTATCTTAGGGCTATACTTTCGATCATTCTTACTTTGAAAAGCATTGGAAAATCAAATGATTTGTTCTTATTATACAAAATTTAAGGAAGCTTTAATTAAATTCTTTTTAAATTAAATCAAGGTATTATATTTAATATTTTAGATCTTGAGGGTATTCTAATAAAAATGCTCTTAAATTATTTATGGATATTTTCAGTTATATTTTCATTGAATATTAGTTTTTCCTTTTAATTCAACTTTGTTGATTAAGCTAGTAATTAATCTTATTCAATGGCTAATAATTTAGATTGTTATTTATCTGAAATAGCAAGTGTTGAGATTATCTATTCCAAAATTATTCTAATTTGGATATTAATATTATTGCAATTTATTGTCATCATTTTCGGATTGATAATATTTTCTATAATCATTAATTAAAAATTTAAATTAGACAACATTTCTAATACCTTACTTTGTTTATATATTTTCAATTATGCAGGATTTATCAAAATGTATTAAATTAAATTAATATTAGGTTATGTTCCGTGGTTTCATATAGAGAAATATCTAACATATAATATATATCTGGAGATCTTACATTAGAATTTAATACAGAGACTCATCATTAATGGATTATGTATTTAATTCTTCCTGGATTAATAATTTTTGGCTGCTTGATTCCTCTTTCATTATTTTTATTAATGTATTTTAAAAGAAATGATTTGGATAATCATATATTCAGACCTCACATATGTTATCTTTATAATGAATATGAAAAAGAAAGTTATTATTGGGAATAAATAAAATTAAGTAAAAGAGCTATAATGATACTCATTTTGACATATTTTGAGACTAATATTCATTTGAAAGCATCATTAATAGGATTGAGTCTAATTATTTATTAGCTATTAGCAATTAACAAGAAGCCTTATATCATGACAAAATTTAATAAATTTGACTTATCAACAGGTTAAATGTGTTCAATTTCAATATTTTTATCTACAATTAAATATGAAAGTGAAAAGTTAAATAATCAAATGATATCTTTAGCTCTCTAAGTCTGCTTAATGATACTTTTTGTACTTATCACTTTTCCATTTATTCATAGTATAATACAGATTTACTACAAAAAATATAAACTCATTTTATTGAAATATCTATTTTTGATTTTTAAGTATTTCCGATTAAAATAAGCATCAAAAAAATTTGAATTAATTTTAAATGAAAAATATTAAAAAGAATAAAGGATAAAAGATAATTACTTAAAATTAAGATAATTCCTTTTGATTATATCAAAAGCTTAATTAAAATATAGACCGTAATTATTATTCAAATATATTTAGTGCTCTTGAATCCACTTTTAATTCAAGAAAGAATTATCAACAAAAATTAATAAGTTCAGCCATGCAAGGTTAGTCTATCTTATTAACTGGATAAAGATTGTAATGAATTTTAATATATACATTTAATATTAATGCTAATTATGTTGAATTTTCAGTGAATGCTAAACTTGAAGATCCAAACGTAGCTCGTAGATTCAGACTTTTAGAAGGTACTGCAACTGCAGATGGAACTGAAGTCTCTGCAGCCAAAGCTGTTGGTTCAACTACTTTAGAATGCATAAAAAAGGATGAGAATTCTTCATGCCCAAGTGCCGAAGAAGCTAAGGCCTACTATTAACAAGATTGTGGAGTTATTGGATAAATGGAATGTGCGGGCAGTAATGAGTATATTTGGTCATTTTTAGTTTTTACCATTATTCAAGAAAATTTTATATTAATTATTCATCTTATCAATTATTTTAGAATATAGATATTAATTAAATATATAGGAATGGATTTTTTATTTGTATATTTATTTTTAATAAAGATATTCTTAAGAAAAACTGGATTTACATAAATTTGTTAAATTATTGAATATTAAACTGATCAATAAAAATATATAAGATCAAAAAATTACATTTTCTAATTTGCTATATTAGAATGCAAGCATATTGAAATTAGTTTTGAATTATTGTTAATTATATTTATAATTATAATATAAAATTATACAGAAATATAAAAATAGTATAATAATGGATTCTCAATTAATAAATACTTTTATAAAAATACTAATAAAAGATGAAATTAGATGGTGTGATTAATAAAATTAGATAATATTACATATATTTTTTAATATTTTAATATATTTATTAACATTTTTTTCCTATAAAAATAATTTAAAATTCACTTCTTATTATTTAAGTACCTCATTAAATTCTTTTGAATATGCATTATTACACTGACCAAAAATCTTCTTCATCTTATATTCTTTTTGACTATTTTCATTTTATAAAGATCATAAACACCAACTTATTATTTTGAAATAGAGCTTAATTAAAGCTTCATAAATGTCTTAAATTATAATGAAATAATATCATTAAAGATTTTTTGGATGTTTTCTTAATAAACCATTTTGTTGATTAAAAAATGCAATCCCTTCAATCATGAGCTTCATATTTTTTGAAATCGAACCAGTCAAACTTAAACTCTTTTATGATCTTGTACATGAAGTATTCTAATTCATTTAAAGTAATTTTGTATGCAATCTAATTAGTATACATTTTAGTGCCTAAAATTATTATAGAGAACATCCAAAAATTATCAAAATTATATGAATCAAAATGGATTTTATTATTGAAATAAATTTATTTAAAAAATTAAGAAACTCTATTTTTATATTATTAATTTATTATAATGAAAAGCCTTAACCATTTAAATCACTTAAATTAACAATAATCAAACTAGAGGAACAAAATTTGTAATAAACTAAAAGAAGGCAACTATTTAAGTTTAAATCAATTTTGAAACTAATTCCTCGAATAATGTGCTAAATATATATAGATAATATAATCCAATATAAATGCGAAATGTGGATCAAAATATATTAAAATTCTATATTTGATATTTATTTAAAAGTTAAAATATTACTAATTAACTTATAAAATTTTATTGCCTATTGATTAGAGAATTCAGTAATAGGATTATTCAAGTTTAAATATGATAAATTTAGTAACCATTCTCACTATTAGTAATTATTTATTGCTAAATCCATAGTTTTCTAAAAAAAATGAATATGTCTCATAAATCACAGATCCTTATTGATCAGAAATTAGGCTTAAATTATATTAGGAAGAATTAGATTTTAGTTAAACAAAATCACCAAGACCTCTACAATATATTCTCTTACTAGTAATGTTCTTGAATTCAAGATTAAGAGATTTAGATGATAAACCATTAATTGTCCTTCAAAACTTTAAGCTATCTTATTAATTATCATAAAAAAGTATTTTTTTTATTTATTTGTCATTATTAAAATCGAAAAAATTGTTATTATATACTCTTCCAAAGGATTTGATTTCCCTATAAATTTTACTTTTTCTAAATGATTACTGCCATCATCATTGTAGTATCAGATATTATCTCTTCTTCTTCAAAGTTGATAATTTGATCTAGCTGTTCTTTTTTAATTTGGAGGTCAAAAAAAAGTGATATTAATAAAATTTGAATTTAATGTTACATATAATGATCTAGATTTTTACTTTATCTTTTATCTTATAAATAAGAAGTCCAATACTATTTTAGTGAAAGTTTTCGGTCCTCTTAATTCATAAAATATATTAAACTTAAATTATAAAATTCAATCATCTTTCAATTATGAAGTAACTATTCTGAAATTGCATAGAACAAATCTTAATCTACATTTAAAGATTAACATATAGATCTTCAAATTTCTCTGATAATTTGGCAATAGGCGCAGCAGAATTTATAACTATATTTTGGGAGAATGACTCTGATTCAAACCTTAAAGAATTTTTTCTAAAGCCTGATACTCTTTTCTTTGAAGATCGAAACATAATTATTTAAATAATTCTAATTACAATGCAATTAAAAATTCAAATAATTTGTTCCATAAGAAGACTTCTAAAATACTAATAATCTTCTCAAATAGATTATAATTTGAGAGTATACATTTAGCATGAAATAACTCTCTTTTTTATTTCTAATTATTTTTTTTGAATATTGTTCTAAAGAACAAATTTTATTTTCAATTGTTGCACATATATTGAAAAAAATATTTCAACTTAAAATTTTAAAGGAATCATATTTGTAAATATGGTTTCCTAATTTTTTATTATTTCTTTAATATTTATAATTTTTTTTCTATATTGAAAAAGAATTTTTAAGTTATGGATCAATATTAAATAAATTTTTTTTTTTAATTTGACTAGCAGGTAGAGTTGCCTCTTCTCTGTCATCTTTAGGGAGATAAAATATCTCTTAAATACTTGAGGAGAAGTAATTCACCATCTAATCTTTTCCACTTGAATAAGATCAATAGAAGAAATCCAGCATATCATCCTCAAGATAATTAATTAGAGGTAAAGTAGGTGAATTTTCATCTTTTATTGATGGTAAATTATTAAATGATAATGATGTACTGAAAGTAACAGATTATGAGGATGAGAATAAAAGTTATTTAATTTTTTCAACAGTCATGAAAGTTGACTTGCTTTTTGAAAGAGAAGTTGTTATGAGGTCAAAACTTTCTTCCGGTTGAGAAGTCAAATTGGCTAGTTCTCCATGGCGTGTTAGACCTAGGCGCATGAGGGTACACCTTAACTGTAGAAAATTGAGATGGAATAGCATCCGATCTAAGAAGAATAATAATTTAAAGATCTTCCCAAGGTGAAAAAGACTGTTAAGGAGAAGAAAAAATCCAAAAAATTAGGAAAAAGGAAAGAATGAGTATTATCAAAAATAAATAAATAAGTAACTTATGATGGTGAATATAAAAATGGTATTAAAGTTGATATTTGAAATATGATCTATTAAGAAAATTAAATGTAAAAAATTAGTTAGTTTAAATCTTTTTATAGTGGTGAAGGTTCATATGATTGAGGAGGAAATGGGACTAAAACTGTTAGATGGATTGATATGAGTGAGGAGTTTAAATGGAATTCCTAAGTAATTTATTATGGGAATTATTAAAATGGTATTAAAGTTGGCAAATGGTTAAAAATGAATGTTAATGAAATTGAAAAACTGTTTGAATGAATTATAAAATTTGTAATCATTTTAATTATATAATTTGCTTACATATAAATAAAATTAAAAATTTAGCTAGATTGTAACATTTGATAAATTTGTTGAATTTAACTAAATTTAAAGTAAGCTTTGTCTAGTATTTTGATTAAATTAAAATTTATGAGAGAAGA